GAGAGAGAGAGAGAGAGAGAGAGAGAGAGAGAGAGAGAGAGAGAGAGAGACGATAACTCCCCGACCTCGCGGCTCGCGCCATGCTACTTCCATCGATAGGATGAGCAACATCCAATGAATCTTCGGCTAGAACATGGAAATATACACTACCTGGTTGAATATGGCCGACCACGTCATGCTCCAGCGATAGGATGAGCAAAATCGAATGAATCTTCCCCTAGAACATGGAAATATTCACTACCTGCGCCGACACCAACCCCCCCCCGGCACGGCGCGAAAAAAAACGTTAGCGAAAAAAAGAGCCCGTTCATAAAGTCGCGCCGACACCAACCGCCCCCCCAAAAAATGGCAGTAAACAGAAAACCCTGCCGGGCCCACGAAGCCGGCCCAACACAAAAAAAAAAAAACAGCCCTTAACAAAAAACCGCGCCGGGCCCAAGGTGCACCGGGCCCACGCGGAACGCGTCACGCGAGACCCGTGTTTTGCTTTAGAGTGTTAGGGAAATAGAATAAAACATTCAAGGATAAGCCAGACACTGGCCTGAATTGGTGAGGCAATGAGGCATTCCTTTCCTCTCCCCTTGCTGTGCTTTCTGTTTGTTACTTCGTATTGCATTTGCATTTGTATTTACATTTGCGTTTGCAATTGCAATTGCAATTGCATTTGCATTTGTATTAGCATGTGCGTTTGCACTGGCATTGGCATTGGCGTTGGCATTTACATTTCCATTTGCAATTGCATTTCCATTTGCAATTGCAATCGCATTCGCAATTCCATTTGCATTGGCATTGGCTTTATGACTCTGATGTGGCATACTGCGCAGCCACACGGGCCTGCAGGGCCCGACCAGCGTTCTCAGCCTAAAAGCCTGAAAGCAAGCGCCTACAGGCCCTGTGTCGTTTTCAGCCTCAAAGCCTGAAAACAAGGGCCTACAGGCCCCGTGCCGTTTTTCAGCCTGAAAGCCTGAAAACGAGGGCGTACAGGTTTCAGCCTGAAACAGGGCCCTCCAGGCCCTGAGTCTTTTCAGCCTGAAACGGAGGGCCATTTTTAGGCCTTCATAAGATTGACCTACCCTGAAACTTAGGCACCAGACCAGGGTTTTAGCACAGGCCATTTTTGGCCTGTTTTCAAGACAACCCGTGTTTGAACTTCAACACCAGGGTCTGGCACGTTTTGGCATTGGCAAGAGCAGCCTCCTGGACGGGCCAGCACTATATAAGACTGGCCCGCCCTGCAGGCTGCAGGTAGTCACGAGGTAGTTCACAGGAACTTCCCAGGCACTTCACGTGCAGGAGGCAGGAGGCAGTCTTCAGGATTCGGCAGCAGCACTCTGGAGGAGTGCTGCAGTCGTAGTAGTAGCGTTAGGCCTAGTCTTCAGCGCTGGGCGCTATTAGGAGCTAGAGTAGCATTGGAGAGAGAGAGATGGTTGGCGGAGGCCAGGGAGACTTACCTGTGGCCCCATAGCTCCAGCTTCGTCTTCGATGTACCTGCATCAAGGCGCCACCTTCACAGGTTAGTACCGGACTCTGAGAGAGAGAGAGAGAGAGAGAGAGAGAGAGAGAGAGAGAGAGAGAGAGAGAGAGAGAGAGAGAGAGTTCTTCTTCTTCCTCCTCTAAGTCTCCACCATCTCCTCCTCACCCTCTCGCTACCTGACTTCTCAGTATATGCAGACTACGAGAGAGAGAGAGAGAGAGAGAGAGAGAGAGAGAGAGAGAGAGAGATGGGTGACTTTGGGACTTGACGACATTTGGATCCAGAGTCCAGACTCGACATTGGGATTCAGACATTTGACGAAGGATTATTTGGGCCCTGTACCGAAGACTTGGTGTTGACGACATTCCCATCTTCCCCTCTTCTTCGTCTAACCCCCCTCTTCTTCGTCTGTGTATGGTTGGGGACTGGCACATTCTTCCTGTGTGAGCGCCAGGCCCCTTCCAACCATGGAATGATGCTGATGTATGTCTGGTCTGCATTGCAACATTGATTGTTCGGATCATTGGTATTTAAGCCTTCTGCTGTGCTATCTTATACTATGTGAGAGAGGTCGGTTCTTGTTCTGGTTTGTACCGTTACGGTATGCGACACTCTGACATGGACACTGTAAACATACGTTTGAACTTTGAATGATTCCTTTGCTTTGTGAGTGGTAGTCCTTCTAGTGCATGAATGGATGGTCACATCACATTTTGTTGTTGAGTTCGATTTCAAGCTTCTACGTTTTCATGGCTTTGGATTGGAAGATCACGAAGAAATGGCTAGTGGCCCAGTACCGTCCACTTTCCAGGTTCTCTTTATGACATTGCGCCGACATTTGCATTGCAGTTTACGCTTGTGTTTGGGTTTGCATTGCAATTTACGTTTGTGTTCAGATTTGCATTCAATTTACATTTGTGTTCGGATTTGCATTGCGCCCAAGACTCTGACGTGGGGTGATCGTAAAGTTGTAAACATAGACTTGGATGATTCACTGATTTCGGCGATTTGTTTCCTTGATTGTGCATGAATGGATGGTCGCAACGCATTTGTTTATCGAGTTGAGTTAACTTGAGTTTGGTTTCAAGCTTGGGTGATTTTAAACTTATTTTCGTCTGGTTGGATGGATTGGCAGATCACCAAGAAATGGCCAGTGTCATCCAGTTTCTCAGTTTTTGGCAGCAGCAGCAGTCCAGGGAGTCCCACTCAGGACCAAAGGACCGAACAGTTTTCGAGTGCGCCAGTGAGCCCCGGTTCAAATCGTAAAGGATCGGCTTCTCGGCTTCTTTCTCACGACAAGAGCATACCTCTCTTCTCTTCCTACTCCTGAAGCAAACTGAAACTAATTCTGAGCAAAGCCAGGAACCCCCCCCTGTTGATGTTCCTCGCCCAGGCCTCTCGGTGGCGCTGGCGGGTGGCCCCAAGTTTTGCTCGCCAACCTTCGAGCTCAACGCGGCGTTTTTAAGTTTTGAGGTCCAACTTTTCAAAATTGAATTCTTCAAAGTTCACTTCCACCCTTTTCTGGTCTGTCTTTGCCATGTGTATGTTCATTCGACCTTCATCGCCAAGCTTACGGTCCGTCACGTCACGGCTTTTTAAAGTTTTGAGCTCCTTCACTCGCCAAGCTTATGCTCGGTCGGTCACCTGCCTGGTGACTGGATGGAGGATGGTGCTCACCTTGAAGGGCTTGAAGGGCTTGAGCTGCCAATCCACAGGTCAGGGGTTCAAACTTCAAACCCCATCCTACACTGTTGAATAAGCGGTCAGGAGAGCTGCACCACCTTTCTCAGTAGCAAGAGAAGCTTGAAGTTGATATATGTCAACTGCAGCCACCTCTGCATTCCTTGCACACGACAAGAGCATACCTCTGTATTCTTTTTCTTTTTTTCCTTTTTTTTTTCCTTTTTTTCTTCCTAGTACAACAGGTCCTAATGTGGTCCTGGCTCCTTGTCCATTCTGGTCCTTTCTTCTTCTTTTTTCTGGCATTTTTTTTTTTTTTTTTTTTTTTTTTTTTTTTTTTTTTTTTTTTTTTTTTTTTTTTTTTTTTTTTTGGTCATGCTAATCTTCTCTGTGTCGTTCCAATTTTAACGGATGTTCCGAAGGACACGTCTGTCTTCTTCTTCTTCTTCTTGTCCTTCACGATGGAAGAAACTTGAGTTTTGAGGAAAGTGGGGGAACTCTCTCCCTCATGCTCGCATTGACGGTCCGAAGTTGAGAGTCTTGAGACCTTCACTTTCAAGACAGCTTTTTTTTTTTCTTTTTTTTTCCCCAAGACGGCTTTCCGAAGTTTCGAGTGTTTTGAGTTCCAGGTCAACTACACAGCTTGTTAGTCGTCACCGACCATGTCCATTGAGAAGCTTAGGGTCACCCGCCTGGTGACGCACATTGCACACCGGTCCTTCAAATGCCAGTCCATATCCTAAAGGGTTCAAACTTCGAGGCCCAAACCTCCCCGAGTTATTACTTAAACCACCAGTTCACCCGTGGAGCCTAAGTTGAGCTCTTACCGGTATACGCGGTAACTTTGGTAAGAGATTTTCGATTCGGGCCTTGGCCCATAGTGAAGGCGGAAGGCCACTATGAAAAGTCTCAGTTGGAGGCTCACGCAGCTTGGAAGGTCGCTTCGTCAACTTAGGCTTGTGTGAACGCTCGTGTGAACTGGTGTTTTAATAGCGTGACCAGTTCAGACAAGCATTCACACGAGCTTCAATGGAGTCTACATGCATTTGGACGCCTTTCAGGACCAGGTGAGTTTGGAGGAGTCTCACATTTGGAATGTTAACTTCGGCTCGTGTGAGCGCTCTCAAATAAAATGGAAAAGTTAACTGTTAAAATTTTTAAAACATGCTCATGGGAACTTCATGCCATCAATATTCAGTTCCTTGGAACTATCTCTGTATGTTTCCACATTCCCCATACATTACAATGGGTCGTGCTCCATTTCTCAACACTCTACATGCATTTGGACAACTTTCCGGACCAGGTGAGTTTGGAGAAGTCCGACATTTGGAATGTATCGGGGCGATTTTGAGCTCCACATACATATAGTGTGTTGTGCAGTGGAGGGAGGCCCGACATCGTCTCGCACACGTCTGCTATGTTGCTTTTGTGACCATAAATCGGTACAGAGAACCGGTTGGTAAACCGTAGGCAGAGAGGGAGGGAGGGAGACGAGGACAACAATTGAGGGCCCCGGGCTGTGACAAACTATTTCATGGAAGTCTCAGCGAGTCATCTACGCTGCTCTGATCTGAGATTTATGCATGTCATCCTTGCGCCAGGGGCCACCATGCTAATCTTCTTTCTCTTTGTATCCTTCCGATTTTAATTTTTAACTGATGTCCCGGAGGACACTGCATTAGTGATTGTTCGTCCTGTTTTACACCTTCCATTCAGTCTTTTTCATCTCTTGCTTTTTGTCGTCTCGGTTTCACATTCTTTGTTTCAATAGCATCCTCTGAATGAATGCTGCATCAAAGCATTGGATGTGGCCACACTGTCTTTCCCTCTCAATTCCTCCTCCTGCGGTCCCATCATTTGCCGGCTTTTTTTTCCCCCCCCCCCCTCCTACCACTAATTGTCTTCCCAGTCCTCCACCTCCTCCTCCTCATCCTTCCTCTTCCTACTCTTCCCCCATTCCAGATGCTGCTTTTGCTTGCCTTGGCAATGGGATTCATTTTAATCTTGGGTAGATTTTGCATGCTTTTCCCTTGTTTTTACAGGGTCCAAGTTTGTTTAAAATCCTTCAAACTTAAAAGTTAAAAGGAAATTCTGGGGCAACTGTTTTGTATCCTAAAAGGCTGAAGCCGGAAAGTGATGTAGACAGCATGTGCGTCCGCTGCACGCTTCGTTCTGGAGGACCCACCACCTCTCACCCCGTCCATG